TGGTTCTGGTGATGATGATGGTGGTTCTGATGATGATGGTGATGATGGTGGTGGCTCTGATGATAATGATGATGGTGGTGGTTCTGATGATGATGGTAGTTCTGATGATGATGATGGTGATGGTGGTGGTTCTAATGATGATGATGGTGGTGGTGGTTCTGGTGATGATGATGGTGGTTCTGATGATGATGGTAGTTCTGATGATGATGATGGTGGTGGTTATAATGATGATGATGGTGGTGGTGGTTCTGGTGATGATGATGGTGGTTCTGATGATGATGGTGATGATGGTGGTGGCTCTGATGATAATGATGATGGTGGTGGTTCTGATGATGATGGTGGTTCTGATGATGATGATGGTGATGATGGTGGTGGCTCTGATGATAATGATGATGGTGGTTCTAATGATGATGATGGTGGTTCTGATGATGATGGTGATGATGGTGGTGGCTCTGATGATAATGATGATGGTGGTGGTTCTGATGATGATGATGGTGGTGGTGGTTCTGATGATGATGGTAGTTCTGATGATGATGGTGATGATGGTGGTGGCTCTGATGATAATGATGATGGTGGTGGTTGTTCTGGTGATGATGGTGGTGGTGGTGGTTCTGGTGATGATGGTGGTGGTGGTGGTTCTGGTGATGATGATGGTGGTTCTGATGATGATGGTGATGATGGTGGTGGCTCTGATGATAATGATGATGGTGGTGGTTCTGATGATGATGGTAGTTCTGATGATGATGGTGATGGTGGTGGTTCTAATGATGATGATGGTGGTGGTGGTTCTGGTGATGATGATGATGATGGTGGTTCTGTACGTGTGTTGAACTTCTTTCGCACAATACGCAGTCAACCTTGCTAATCGGCGGTGCGGCAGGGAAGGACTAAAAACTATACACAACAACAAAAAGCATCATTAGACCTCCTTTGCCAGTACCAAAATATAATAATAGGGGTGTTTCCCCTTTGTTCTGGCAACAAAACTGAAATCTTTTTACAAGGAATCATGTGTGCATTAACCACAATACTTGTGGTCAAAATGCAAACAAAAAACACACTCTGATAACAAAAAGCAGTTGGAAAGAACTGAGTTTGTCAATATAGATGATGATTTAAAAGTGCATATAGCTCCCAGTGGCTTTCTAATATCGGAAGAGAGTTCCATACGGCCGCGGAAGAAGCGCATCTGAAAGCGCCGCGCGATTAACATTCGGTCGATCCGGTAAAAATGTGTCGTTTTGGACACAATCTGCAATTATGACATCACAGGAAGGGGTGTCACAGGAAGTGACATCACAGGAAGGGGTGTCACAGGAAATGACATCACAGGAAGTGTCAGAAGGTGTCACAGGAAGTGTCAGAAGCGGCGTCACAGGAAGCGGCGTCACAGGAAGCGGCGTCACAGGAAGTGACATCACAGGAAGTGTCAGAAGCAGCGTCACAGGAAGCGGCGTCACAGGAAGTGACATCACAGGAAGTGTGAGAAGCGGTGTCACAGGAAGCGGCGTCACAGGAAGTGACATCACAGGAAGTGTGAGAAGTGGCATCACAGGAAGTGACATCACAAGTGTCAGAAGGTGTCACAGGAAGTGGCATCACAGGAAGTGACATCACAGGAAGTGTGAGAAGTTGGGTCACAGGAAGCAGCGTCACAGGAAGTGACATCACAGGAAGTGTCAGAAGTGGTGTCACCGGTAGTGTGAAAAGTGGCGTCACAGGAAGTGACATCACAGGAAGTGACATCACATGAAGTGTCAGAAGCGGTGTCACAACAAGTGTCAGAAGTGGCGTCACAGGAAGTGGCATCACAGGAAGTGACGTCACAGGAAGTGACGTCACGGGAAGTGTCAGAAGCAGCGTCACAGGAAGCGGCGTCACAGGAAGTGACATCACAGGTAGTGTGAGAAGTGACGTCACGGGCAGCGGCATCACAGGAAGTGACGTCACAGGAAGTGTCAGAAGCAGCGTCACGGGCAGCAGCGTCGTCACAGGAAGTTGAGCTCCTCACTCTTGTCCTGGAAGATGGACATGAGCCTGGCCTTGCGGTTCTTCTCCTCCGGCGCGGAGGGAAGGGGCTTTGCCGAGCCGGCCTCGCGCTCCCGGGGCCCGCCGCTGCACCCCACCGACGCCGAGTTGAGCAACGCCGAGTTCATTCTGACCGGAGGGGTTGGCGCTTTGTCCTGGACCTCAACATAACCGGACATCCTAGGGGGGCGTCAGCTGGTGGGGGGGGAGGGTTCGGGGGAGGATAACGTTGTGGGGGGTGGTGAGGGGGGCAGACAGAGAGAGAGACGGGGGGGGGGGGGGTAAGAGGCAACATCACTCACGAGCGTTAACGACATCGACAAAACGACCTCGTCGTTCGTAAGCAGTGCGGCTTTCCAAGTGGTAACCAGCAAACGACGTGAGGCTCTGGGTGGAGTGCATCCGTCGAACGTTTTGTTTTATCCGCTTGCAAGTCACTACTTAGCCCGTTGGGGATACCTCAACAGGATGAACAATTGGCTAAGATATCGTTCGTTCTGAATTCGTTCGTTCGTTACTCAATCCGCTTGCCCTGGCGAGGGTCGTGGCGGCGGCATTTTGAGTAGTGGCGGTCCAGACCTCCCTTTCCCTGGCAACAGACTCTAGCTCTACATTACTATACACCAAGCTACGTAGCGATCTGGCCATCACAAACGATTGCTCAACCAAGTGGCCAAGATCATCATCATCACGTGGAAATTTAAAACAGCAGGCTAAATACTCGAAACGCGTGACGTCGATTCCAAATGTGGAGTGGGAGAAAACCCGGAGGTCCCGGAGAAAAATCCATGTGACCACCACGGGGAGAAAGAGAGAGAGACACGCAGACTTCGCAAATACAACAGGCACCCCGTTAGGGTCAGGATCAAACCCGTGACCTCCTGTATACCGAGCGAGATAGTTAACATCTCCTAGCGACCGTGGCACCGTCAATTTACACAGGAGGGTCCTGCCAATTTTGTTACGGTAGGGTTGAGCAATGTCGCTGCTGCTGTTGCTGCCTAATCTGTCCCGTTGGCCTGGAACAAAGCGGTAGTGGTGGCGGCTGCGTTCCTGAAGAACACCACGTTAAAATGGAAATAAAATAAATCTACATATATAAAAGAGAAATGTGTGAATGTGTCTGTTCAAAATGTTTAGCGTACTTCCCACCATGCAACAAACTTGAAATTTGCCATGTGGGTAGCTTCCAGACTGTACACAATGCAGAACGTATAAAAATAGACTTTTGTATTTTGGGGGACGGGGGGGGGTGCAATAATGGATGTAATATTTTGCACGGCAAGTGAGCGGTGACGTCACATCTGTGATGTCACCCGCAGGGGGCAGCGTCACGCAGCGTGCCTGCTGACGTCACGCAGCGTGCCTGCTGACGTCACGCATACCCCCCCTCTACCTTCCGCGTCAGAGGTCCGTACCCGTACCCGGCCGCATCAGGGTCGCAAACGGGTACTCGTACCCGGCCGTACCCGTACCCTAAGCGTACCCAGCCGGGTACCCAGCCGGGTACGGGTAGGGTACGGGTATCGGGCACCTGATTGCGACCTCTGGGATGAAGCCATGTTGCAGGCGTGGGTGGGTTGATTCTAGGAACTTGAATTGTGAGAAGAGACAAGACGTTGGGAAATGAGTGACAAACGGTGACTCACCAGTGACTCACGGCCTACCCGTACCCGTACCCGTACCCGGCCGCACCAGGGTCGCAAACGGGTACCCGTACCCGGCCGGGTACGGGTAGCCGGGTATCGGGTAAGGTACGGGTATCGGGGGGTACCCGGTTGCGACCTCTGGTATCCGCGTAGGCCGTATATTAATCCAAGACAAGAATCCAAGTCTCGGACGAAGCCGGGTCGTCAAGCTAGTCATATATACCACAGGGGGGCAAAGCACGGCCAGCGATAGCAACGTGAGATGGGTACTTAGGCCCGAACAAAGACTGAGGGCGCAGCGTGGTGGCGGTAGCCATCTAGAAGCATCCAGCAGCATCTCAATGCTTCATGCGATGATGATGACAATGACGACGCTACAGCTAGGTGGCCATTATCACCGCCGCTTGTTCCAACTCGCGCTACGACGTAGTGGTTTCCGACGTTTCGGGCGCAACACAAGTGTCCGTAATCAGGTGGGAAAGCAACGCTTGTGTTGCACCCGAAACGTCGTGATTGATTTGATTTCATAGCTAAGTGACTTTACCGAAAGGACCAAAGAGTATGGATTCCTGCAGTCACGAAAGCTTGTAGTAGTTTCCGCTTGTTGGATCGCGGTGGATATCCAGGTCGAACAAAAACTGACGGCGAGCATGTGGTTGGGTTGCATCTACAAGCATCCAGCAGCGTCCCAATGCCTTGTGCGATGATGATAATGATGCAATGCCGAGGTGGCCATTACCAACACCGCTCGTTTCTCGATGGCGTTCTGTCCAATTCGCATTCACGTTATAAAAAACACGTGTTCCCTATGCTGCATTCATCGTCGCGTTTTAAATATATCCAATTCGCGTTATGAAAACCACACGCAGCGTTATAGAACACACAACTTTAAAGGTGACCTTTCAGCATTGGGGATGTGATTTTGGCCGAGATGTTAACTACCTCACCTGGTATACAGGAGGTCGTGGGATTGATCCCGACCCCTGCTGCTGTACATTTGGAGTTTGCGTGTCTCTCTGCCCGTGGTGGCGTGGAATTTTCTGCGTTCCGAGTGTTTGCCTTTATGATAGTTATCATAGTTTAGGTTTGAGTTCATATTTTAGCTACTAGAGGAAAAAACAGAGAACCCTTAATGGAACCGATTGCAGAACAAGGGAAAAGATAAGAAACTCCACTCACACTCACTCGACTATTAAAACACTTTATATTTGACCAGGTAAGGCCCACTGAGGTATGTAGTTATTTTTGGCTTTCACGAAGTGTGTAGTGTAGTGTGTATTGTAACGTGGTGTGTAGTGTAGTGTCTAGAGGTGTGTATACTGGTAGGAACCTCCTGATTACACCATCCCACAGGGGATTATTGTGTCCGTTGTGCAGGGAGGGGCTGGGTGGGGCTGGGTGGGGAGGGTGGGGAGGGGCTAGGTGGGGAGGGGCTGTGTGGGGAGGGTGGGGAGGGGCTGGGTGGGGTGGGTGGGGCTGAGTGGGGGGTGGGAGGGGTGGGGCTGGGTGGGGAATGGCTGATCACCCCGTGGTGCCCTTACAAAACTCAACGTTTAACCTACTCACGCCGGCTTGTGCCCGCCCTCACAGTCGGCCATATTTGCGGAATACACCACGCCGCCGTTGACCCTGCAGGCCATTGACCGAGCAACCCAACGTTCCTACCAGCTCCCTCCGCAGGAATGTGTTAGTGTCTAGTGTAGTGCATCGATGTTGAACTTCTTTCGTACCCTACATAGCCAACCGTGCTAATCTGAGGTGCGGGATATGGACAACAAACTAAACACAAAAAATTCGTTCTAAGGAAATTCGTTTTCAATTTGGAGTGGCTTATCGTGTGTAGCCTTAACAGACCGTTGGGACAAGTGCTGTTAACGAGTAGCACCTATGAAGGCCAAAACGGCACGCAAAGAGTTGAGTGGCCAACAACACGCCCGGCCGCCTTTGTCTCCCTCGCAGAGGTCGCAAACGGGTTTTGATTCCTTACCCGTACCCAGCTGCACCAGGGTCGCTAAACGGGTACCCGTACCCGTACCCGTACGGGTACGGGTAGGGTACGGGTATCGGGCACCTGATTGCGACCTCTGGGATGAAGCCATGTTGTAGGCGCGGGTGAGTTGATTCTAGGAACTTGAATTGTGAGAAGAGACAAGACGTTGGGAAATGAGTGACAAACGGTGACTCACCAGTGACTCACGGCCTACCCGTACCCGTACCCGGCCGCACCAGGGTCGCAAACGGGTACCCGTACCCGTACCCGTACCCGGCCGGGTACGGGTAGCCGGGTATCGGGTAGGGTACGGGTATCGGGTACCCGGTTGCGACCTCTGCCGAGCAGGAAATCGAACCCGGCTGGCCGGGTTTGTAGTGCAGGGCGGTGTAACCGCTCACCCCTACAAGTCACCCCTACAAGTCACCTCTACACTCACTCACACTTTAGAACCAGGGGTGACATCGGGAGAGGCTGGCACTTGAAACTGAATGCTCACGACACGATAGAGAGGTCTAGAGCCCATCGAGAGGGCAGTTTGACCTGATCGACAGAGACCAACACTCACACAGACACCCATTGACTCACAGAGGCCCATATATTCATCCCACAGAAGACCATACACTCATCACAAATAGACCCATAGACTCACACAGAGACCCACAGACTCATCACACAGAGACCCATAGACTCATCACACAGAGATCCATAGACTCATTCCAGAGAGACCCACAGACTCGCCACACAGAGACCCATAGACTCATTCCAGAGAGACCCACAGACTCACCACACAGAGACCCATAGACTCATTCCAGAGAGACCCATAGACTCATCACACAGAGACCCATAGACTCATCCCAGAGAGACCCACACTCACCACACAGGGACCCATAGACTCATCAGAGACCCACAGACTCATCACACAGAGACAAACAGACTCATCACACAGAGACCCATAGACTCATTCCAGAGAGACCCATAGACTCATCACACAGAGACCCATAGACGCATCCCAGAGAGACCCACACTCACCACACAGGGACCCATAGACTCATCACACAGATACCCACAGACTCACCACACAGAGACCCATAGACTCATCACACAGAGACCCATAGACTCATCACACAGAGACCCATAGACGCATCCCAGAGAGACCCACACTCACCACACAGGGACCCATAGACTCATCACACAGAGACCCATAGACTCATCAGAGACCCACAGACTCATCACACAGAGACCAACAGACTCATCACACAGAGACCCACAGACTCATCACACAGAGACCCACAGACTCATCACACAGAGACCCACAGACTCATCACACAGAGACCCATAGACTCAGCAGAGACCCACAGACTCATCACACAGAGACCCATAGACTCACCAGACAGAGACCCACAGACTCACCACACAGAGACCCACAGACTCACCACACAGAGACCCACAGACTCATCACACAGAGACCCACAAACTCATCACACAGAGACCCACAGACTCATCACACAGAGACCCATAGACTCATCACACAGAGACCCATAGACTCATCACAC